CCATAATGGGTAATGAAATAGCTTTAACTTCAGCAGTGTGCTGTGACAGGATATTGCTGCAATCTGTGATGAAACCAAGAACAGAAAAAATAAACTCTGAAGTTTTTGGAACAAGCCCTTATTGAAACAGTTCAGTTTTTAACTTTGGAATACTATGGGTAGACCCAGCCCTGTGAAGTGATCTGAAAACACTTCTCCATTGGCAATCCCTGTCAAATCCTTCGCTGTATGGCAGGAATGATAAGTACCAGTAAAAAAGAAAGGAGAAGCGCATACTCCATACCTTGACATTCCTGAGATGCCATAGTTTAAACAAACAAAAAGCAGAGACAGAAAGGTTCTCGGAGCTTCCCTGTACATAGCAAGGAGAAGCCTTTGCAGTTTTAAGGAAACTGATTAGTTGAGAACATTTGTCAGCCAGCGAGTGGCTGGTCCATAACCCGAGTTCTGGGCGGTTGTGTTTCACGCAGGCCGAAGGTGAGGTGGCAGCGCTGAACAGACGTATCCAGCTCGTGGAAGAGGAGTTGGATCGTGCCCAGGAACGGCTGGCCACAGCCTTGCAGAAACTGGAGGAGGCTGAGAAAGCAGCGGATGAGAGCGAGAGGTACGTTTCCTTCGTTTCCTTTTTTTTTTTTTCTTTTGTAAAAATTTGAATATATATGAATAAAATATTCCTGTATAATTTAGTATCTGCATGTGCTAATGTGCATTGCAGGTCAGAGACCCATAACTAGAGGTGGCTTTTTTATGAGCTTAAATGAGTAATTCTGTTAGCCCTGAAGAACACCACAGTATGGTCATAATGGGCTACTTTTTGGTTACAAATACTGAATTCCACTTTGGGACCTTTGAGATAAAAGCGCTAAAATGCTTCTGCATTAAACACACTTGCTTTGACTTCTGCAGAGGAATGAAGGTTATCGAGAACAGAGCAATGAAAGATGAAGAGAAAATGGAAATTCAGGAAATGCAACTGAAGGAGGCTAAGCATATTGCTGAAGAAGCTGACCGCAAATATGAAGAGGTAAAAGGGATAAGGAAATGATTAAACGTACGGGAGAACTGCGAACAGCTTTGTCACTCTTGAGTTTAGTCATTTGTTGTATGCCTTTCACTGTGCGATGGTTCAACTTTGGAACATTCCCCAAAACGGGGACTTTTAATAGTAACTTGAGCAGCACCTTAGATATTTAATATGAAAAAACACTGCAAAATCTTAACTTATTTGGGGAAAAGGTCTGTCATGTCCATGTGTATGTTTTAATCTAATTTCATCATTCAGAAGGAAAGCACGGGCGCAGTGCTTTGAGAGAAACGTCTAAGAAATTACAGAGTGCCTTGAGACAGCCATTGTTTCTTTACAGGTCGCCCGTAAACTGGTTATTTTGGAGGGTGAACTGGAGAGAGCTGAGGAGCGTGCAGAGGTGTCCGAAGTGTGAGTAACTTCAGATACACGGCAGCAGTTCAGAATACAGCAAAGGTCAAAGCTGTGTTTCATTAGAAAAACCTACTACTGGTAGGCAGGCATGTAGTATATGTACAAAAGCTTTTTGTACTCTGTATACCCAATTTTCTCCTTTCAGACTTAATAATTACTTCATCTCTTGTATTTTTAGACTTCTTGAAAATTAAATTAAGTCATAACAGGGACAGTAGTAATTTACACTTCTTTTGTTTCTTCCCGTAGTAAATGTAGTGACCTGGAAGAGGAGTTAAAGAATGTTACTAACAACCTGAAGTCTTTGGAAGCTCAATCTGAAAAGGTTGGTTCTTCCTGTAAACTAAGGGATAGGGGCAAAGTCAAAACTTGTAATTAAGTCCATAGTAATAACCTAGAAATACAATGAAAGTGAAAGGGGTTTAGCTGACTGCCTGTTTACTGGAGGCTGTTGGTAACACTGAATCAGTTCTGCCCAAACTCGAGTCAGTGATCTGATAATTATCAAGCCACAACCTAAATCTCCGTTTTCCACACCAGTATGCTGCTGACAGCTCTTGATTTTCTGATGCTGTTCTTTTTGTGGGTTTTGCCCTCTTCATAGTGAAAATTATTAAAATTCTTGATTTCATTAAAGACCTGTTTCTGGCTCGTCTAAATTGGCATGGAAGGCTTCCTTCTCTCTTGCCCACCCAGCTGGTTTGTGCTGCACAGGGTGAGCTCGTTAAGGTCTAAGATGACGCACGAAGAAACTTGGACATCCCCAGTCTTAAAATGATGGTTTATGAGCCAGAGCCCGAAGTGTCTTGGTGAAGAGGAGACACGGATGGAAAGGGTGTTTGCAGCTGCAAACAAAAAGGAAAAGTGGTTATAAATAGGTCATGGTTTTGTAAACATCTGTTATTGTTGCTACAACTTCCCTTAAAGAGTGTTTATTGTTTTCACAGTACTCGGAAAAAGAAGATAAATACGAAGAAGAAATCAAGATTCTCTCTGACAAGCTTAAAGAAGTAAGTTTATCCATCCCCAAACTGTATTTTGGCATAATTTTTTTAACAGCATCCAGTTACTCTATTTACTTTTCTTTTAGGCTGAAACTCGTGCTGAATTTGCAGAGAGAACAGTTGCCAAGCTGGAAAAGTCTATTGATGACCTGGAAGGTATGAAATTACTCGAGTTTCATTTAAAAGTTGTCGATTTCAAATCAGAAAACAAAATTCTAGGAGCGGGTATTAGATTTTACCAGGAAAGGACAGAAGCGCTGGCCAGGCGCATTGGAAGGTGGGCAAGATGTGTCCACTGGACACGTCTGTCCCGCGTGGTACCTCCTGCCCAGAGGAAGTTTTCCTGAAAAAGGTTCTCTTTCAAAAAGTTGGTAACAATAACCTGATTTTGGCCAACTCACAGATACACGGACTCACGGGCTCTTTCTGTTAATAACAAGATCATAACTCTGCTTCATCTGATTACCGAAAAATAATTTTGTGAGATTAAAAAAAAGGAAATGTAGATGAAGCTCTGACTTGGCAGTTGTGTGGATTTCTGTGCTTTCATACCGATACTCAATTGCGCATCTGTTTTCTTCTTTTGTTTTCTGCCCCAACTGCTTTGGCTGCTGCCTTCTGACTGTCTTCGTGTCTCCTACTGTGCGCCTCTTCCTCTGGACTGCTTTTCTGCATTTCTTGCTGAAACACGCCTTCTGCCCCGGTGACCGGCAGACGAGCTGTACGCTCAGAAGCTGAAGTACAAAGCGATCAGTGAGGAGCTTGACCATGCTCTCAATGACATGACCTCTCTGTGAGCTGCGCCGGGGGCGCGGGGGCCGCTCCCACTCCCTGCCTTTCTTAAGCTTTTCTTGCCTGTAATACCTGTCACTTCCATGCAGCTTCCACAAGCCGTCCCTCAAGCTCCTCTGTAAGAACTGAGCTCAATAAAGACCAGATACCTCTGCCTTTCAGCTTTCGGGCTTTATTTCCTTATAACTCATTTAAAATACACTAGTCATGACACTGAAAATACGTTCAGCTCCTCCTGCCAGGGATGGGCAGCTGCCACTGGCACCGATGCCCCTGTCGGGTGGGGCAGGGCCCTGCGCATGGACAGACACCTGATTTTGGTGTTCCCGAGGACACGTGTGGCAGCGAAAAGCTTTGAGCGTGTTTGGTGTGCACTTGTGGGGCTTCATCTGCCCACTTAAACACTGGGGACAATGAAAACTCTGAAGGACACGTCCTGTAAGTTACATGTTAAATCAAAACACCAGTCTCTCACATCACACATAAGACGTGTCCAAAAACCTCACTAAATTAGAGCAATTACCAAAAAAGTTGGATGCGATTATAGTGTTGTCTTCAATGCGAAGGTAAGTAATGGTGGGGTTTATTTAAGGAGAAAAGGCTGTACAGTGATGTGGTTTAAGTCTTGGTTTTTTCTTCTTTCTCACCAGAAAAACTTGCTCAAGCGAAAGAAGAGAACCTGGGGCTGCACCAGACGCTGGACCAGACGCTGAACGAGCTGAACTGTATATGAGGCGGGACGGGGCCGGCTCTGTGCAGCCACCGCACCGCTCCCCTCTCTCCTGCCAAAACACCCGCCAGACGGACGGACCAGGCGTGCGCCGGGCTCCGGGGTACGCTGAAGCGCCGTCGTGCCCCGGCAGTGCAGCTGTTCCTCCTTCCCACCGTGCCGGACAGCGCGGCTGTCGCTTTCCCGCCCGGTTCTTCAGCCATTTTTGTATAAACCCGGTAGGGGCCGTGCCCAGCAGTAGTGTCGCCCTCCGCCTCTTACTGACGTTTCGTATTAAACAGTTTCTCCCCGTACCGACGCCGCCTCCCGGCCTGTTTGTAGCGCTTCTGTGCGGGTGACGTCACGGGCCGCCACGCC